GATGTCTGACTGCTTCAGGTCTTACTTAGGTTGCCTATAAATTCAAATCAGGTCATTTCACTGAGGCCAAAAAGTTTTCATTATGCAAAATAAAGGATTGCTTCTATGACTTGATCACTGAAGCTTGCCAGGATAATTATGTATCTGCTAAATGTGATCTTCCTAAGATGTACCTGTCTTGTTCAGATACAGACTGAGTATGTGGGAAACTGAAGTGATCATAGTGTTCTATGATATAGCTTTGTAGTTACCCTGTAGTGTAAGCGTAGCTTTTTATTTACCCTAAAGTATGTGACTTCACAACGTGAGAAAGACTCAGTTACCTACAGGCTTCCTGGCTGGCCTTCCAAGCCATCAGATGATTTCCATGGACTTAAACTAGAAGAAACTTTGCTGTCATGTGCATTAGCTTCTGTCATAGAAGGTGCTTGGGAATATTGTCAAATCATACCTGGGCTAGTCGTCAGTGATCACAGGTTAATCTGGGTCCCCAACCTCTGACAGTGGTGTTTCAAAACAAACTTGATGCAACTAATCCTAGTTTTTAGTGTAAGAGCACTTTTCTAACTCTAAATTTATTTCTTTATATAAGGTGATATCTTGAACCAAACACAAAGTTTGTTCTTTGATCCTTGGACATTAAGTGGATATGGAGACTTCCTCCCCAGGGCATAAATTTTTAATCAGGATCTGTGTCTGTCATTCTATGTACTGCAGGTATGAAAATGAAAGTTTTCAGAATGGAAGGAAGTCAACTGAATTTCCAAGAAAAATACGTGAACAGGTGATGGGAAATATCCAAGTTTGGGCTCTGATTCTTTTTGATGATATGAAATCATTTATGTATGCTTTGATGATTTCTTACTTGAAGTCAGTTACAAAGAGGGTGGTTACTGGTTATAGTAGGAAAATGTAACTGAAGTATTAAAACAAGTTGAACTTAGACATATTAAAATAATCTAAAACAATATTTCCTCTTTGTTGTTCAAAATCAGGGTACTAAGTTGGTTTTACACTTTTGGCCAAAAAGTCTACTAGAGTATGTTATGAACCTTTTGCAAGCCCATGATTAGGATAACCCCAACACATAGAGGTAGCATTTGGGAATTGCATTATCTGGTGGCTCATTTTGTCTCCCAGTCATTGTACTCATCCATCTTTATGTGTCTGAAATAATCACATTATGAAAATCGTGAGTGCCAAAGATGCTTCTCTATTTTGATAGACGATCCATGAAACAAGAAGAGGAATCCTGTGCTTTGTCATGTGAAAGAATCCTATAGTTTGAGTATATCAGTGTGGAACAGGTATTCAAATTGTACAGCTTATGAAAACATAATTGTCAGCACATGCTTGGAAATTTAGATAGTTTGAGTATATCAGTGTGGAAGAGGCATTTTAGTTGTACAGCTTATTAAAACACAATTGTTGGCATGTGTTTCGAAATTTAGTGGGATTTAGGCTTAGGATAAGCCCTGAGAGTTCATATTTTTTTCTACATTTTAGAGTGCTCCTAAAGCTAGTTTCAGATGAGCTCCTTGGAATATCTTGGCTTAGGAGAGTTATCTTAGGTGCACCTGAAATTAGCCATAGGTACTCTTGAATTTCAACATTTCTGCCTTTTTTTTTTTTTTTGAGATGGAGTCTCACTCTGTCACCCAGGCTAGAGCGCAGTGGTGTGATCTTGCAACCTCTGCCTCCCGGGTTCAAGCGATTCTCCTGCCTCAGCCTCCCGAGTAGCTGGGACTACAGGTGCACACCACCGCACCTGGCTAATTTTTGTATTTTTAGTGGAGACGGGGTTTCACCATATTTGCCAGGCTGGTCCGAACTCCTGACCTCGTGATCCACCCACCTGGGCCTCCCAAAGTGTTGGGATTACAGTCTTGAGCCACCATGTCCAGCCCATTTCTGCCATTTAAAGTACTGCTTCTTCCCTAGAGGAACAGCCTTAATGTTGAGCCTGGTGGTCATCAGTTTCTGTGCTGGAAGCCAGTTTCTGAGGCTTCCCACGCTGCAGCCGCCAGGCAACTTGCTAGTCTATGGGAGTAAATAAACCAAAAAGCCAGTTGAACTATGGGTTGGGTATGTGCCCCTCAACAGTCTAGGAACTGTTTGTTCTGTTAGTGGTCTGTGGTACAGTAAGTACTGAAATGGAGTATGTAGGAAAGATGACAGCAATTCGACAGCAATTTTTTGGCTATTGAATATAATCATCCAACAAAAGTGAGATTATATACTTTACATATTCATAATTTTATTAATAGTTCATTTATATCGTTTAGTCATAAGATTCTTGTTCCATTTCAGATTGGAAATAAAAAAAAATCCCTCACATAGTTTTAGAAGCAAGGTGTTATGTATCAGGAAACTTGAAATTGATTAAGGAAGTTAGATTCCTTGCCTTTGGTAATATTTTTTAGATATTTTCTTAATAATCCAGATGATAAGCTTTTCTTCCTTTGGGACATCAGACTTTTGTAAAAGTTTTATATATGTGTTATTCTTTAGTTCTTCCACCCTTCCAGAAACAATTCCATATGAAGGAAAGTTAGGGCGCTGTCTCTGGGGAGCCAGGTAGGGGCGCTGCACCTGCTCCCAGGCTGTGAGGTTGCAGAACCTGTGAATGTACCATGTGTGCCTGTGCCATGAATTTACTTAGGGTGAATCCAGGCTCTCAGATCCACCCTAAGTATCCACCAGCCAAGAGGGCCCACATGCCAGGTGGAGCCTCAGTTCATCCACAGGTCCTATGGTCCATTTCTGAGAAAACTGATGAAGCCGTCAGTAGTTCTGAGCTCATGGGGGGTTACAGATCTTCAGTGTCGGTGATGTTTAATGTTGACTTTGGTTCTTCCGCAATAGGATGTTGGGAAATAACTTTAAAGGAAGTTATAACAACGCACCAAGGTTTGATTTTAGTAATTTTAAGCCTCGAGTTTGTTTCCTATTAATCACTCACTATTTTTTAGCAAGTCAGCTAAGAAGTACTTTTATCCTGACCACTGGCTCCCAATTGACTTGAGCTCATTTCTCAGTCTTTAAAAGTCATAGGAGTGGTTTGGTAAAGAAAACAATTTTTTGTTGTTTTTATTGTTATTTTTTTTTGAGACGGAATCTCGCCCTGTTGCCCAGGCTAGAGTGCAGTGGTGCAATCTCTGCTCACTGCAACCTCCGCCTCCTGGGTTCCAGCACTTCTCCTGCCTCGGCCACCTGAGTAGCTGGGACTACAGGCACCCGTCACCACATCCAGCTAATTTTTTGTATTTTTAGTAAAGATGAGGTTTCACCATGTTGGCCAGGCTGGTCTTGAACTCCTGACCTCGTGATCCACCCACCTGGGCCTCCCAAAGTGTTGGGATTACAGTCTTGAGCCACCATGTCCAGCCCATTTCTGCCATTTAAAGTACTGCTTCTTCCCTAGAGGAACAGCCTTAATGTTGAGCCTGGTGGTCATCAGTTTCTGTGCTGGAAGCCAGTTTCTGAGGCTTCCCACGCTGCAGCCGCCAGGCAACTTGCTAGTCTATGGGAGTAAATAAACCAAAAAGCCAGTTGAACTATGGGTTGGGTATGTGCCCCTCAACAGTCTAGGAACTGTTTGTTCTGTTAGTGGTCTGTGGTACAGTAAGTACTGAAATGGAGTATGTAGGAAAGATGACAGCAATTCGACAGCAATTTTTTGGCTATTGAATATAATCATCCAACAAAAGTGAGATTATATACTTTACATATTCATAATTTTATTAATAGTTCATTTATATCGTTTAGTCATAAGATTCTTGTTCCATTTCAGATTGGAAATAAAAAAAAATCCCTCACATAGTTTTAGAAGCAAGGTGTTATGTATCAGGAAACTTGAAATTGATTAAGGAAGTTAGATTCCTTGCCTTTGGTAATATTTTTTAGATATTTTCTTAATAATCCAGATGATAAGCTTTTCTTCCTTTGGGACATCAGACTTTTGTAAAAGTTTTATATATGTGTTATTCTTTAGTTCTTCCACCCTTCCAGAAACAATTCCATATGAAGGAAAGTTAGGGCGCTGTCTCTGGGGAGCCAGGTAGGGGCGCTGCACCTGCTCCCAGGCTGTGAGGTTGCAGAACCTGTGAATGTACCATGTGTGCCTGTGCCATGAATTTACTTAGGGTGAATCCAGGCTCTCAGATCCACCCTAAGTATCCACCAGCCAAGAGGGCCCACATGCCAGGTGGAGCCTCAGTTCATCCACAGGTCCTATGGTCCATTTCTGAGAAAACTGATGAAGCCGTCAGTAGTTCTGAGCTCATGGGGGGTTACAGATCTTCAGTGTCGGTGATGTTTAATGTTGACTTTGGTTCTTCCGCAATAGGATGTTGGGAAATAACTTTAAAGGAAGTTATAACAACGCACCAAGGTTTGATTTTAGTAATTTTAAGCCTCGAGTTTGTTTCCTATTAATCACTCACTATTTTTTAGCATGTCAGCTAAGAAGTACTTTTATCCTGACCACTGGCTCCCAATTGACTTGAGCTCATTTCTCAGTCTTTAAAAGTCATAGGAGTGGTTTGGTAAAGAAAACAATTTTTTGTTGTTTTTATTGTTATTTTTTTTTTGAGACGGAATCTCGCCCTGTTGCCCAGGCTAGAGTGCAGTGGTGCAATCTCTGCTCACTGCAACCTCCGCCTCCTGGGTTCCAGCACTTCTCCTGCCTCGGCCACCTGAGTAGCTGGGACTACAGGCACCCGTCACCACATCCAGCTAATTTTTTGTATTTTTAGTAAAGATGAGGTTTCACCATATTGGCCAGACTGTTCTCAGACTCCTGACCTCAAGTGATCCACCCACCTTGGCCTCCCAAAGTGCTGGGATTACAGGCATGAATCATCGTGCCCAGCCAGAAAACAATCAATAATATTTTCACTGTTGTGACTGTCAGTATTTAGAAAGGCCTGCAAATAACTGCTCTTATTTTCCCAACTTACAGGAGCCAGCACGTCGTGTCTCAAGATCTAGCTTCTCTCCTGACCCTGGTGAGTAGTGGTTTGGTTTTGTTCCAGAATCCTGGAAGATCAGGTCTTTGCGAAGCATATTGGCAAGGAAGGGGCAGCAAGAATGCAAGTGCTAAATGTCTAGCCTGTCAGAAGTGGAGGAGGTGTCATTTAACATGTCAACAACAGACAGATGCCTAACTGTTTGCCCTTGGCGGCTGATGGTGTGCTGTGCTTCAGAGAGACTCTAGATATGAGAAAATTGCCTGTTCAGCTGTCAACTTAGTTCTCAACAGTCAGATAGCATGTGACATTTCATACTGGTTATTGGAGCTAATGTGATTTATTTATTTGAATCATAATTCTAGTATCATAAGACTTGCAAGTTTTAGGCATTAAATAATTTACAGGCCAAGTAAAAGCTAGCTTTAAGACAACCTGAAACAATTAAAATATTGAATTCCACAAATGTTAATCATTGAGAAAATGTTGAACTTCTGTTTCTTATTTCATAATTCATTGCCACGATGAGAAAGCTCAAGATTCCAAGGCCTATTCAAAAATCACTGAAGGAAAAGTTTCAGGAAGTCCTCAGGTACATAACAAGAATGTCAAAGAAGACACCGCAGATGACTCAAAAGACAGTGTTGCTCAGGGAACACCTAATGTTCGTTCCTCAGAACATGCTGGATATAATGTCAGAAATGCAGCTGATCCCATTTCCGAGGATTTTAAAGAAATTTCCAGGGTAAAATTAGTGAGCCATTACGGCGAATTGAAGTCTGTTCCCACTACGCAATGTCTTGACAATAGCAAAAAAAATGAATCTCCCTTTAGGAAGCTTTATGAGTCAATGAAGAAAGAGTTGGATGTAAAATCACAAAAAGAAAATGTTCTACAGTGTTGTAGAAAATCCGGATTACAAACTGATTACACAACAGAAAAAGAAAGTGCTGGTGGTTTACAGGGGGAGACCCAACTATTGGTCTCATGTAAGTCAAGACCGAAATCTGGTGGAAGCGACCACGCTATGGCAGAGCCTGCTTCACCTGAACGAGAGCTTGACCAGGGCAAGGGGAAGAGAAGAGACGTGGAGTCTGTTCAGACTCCCAGCAAGGCTGTGGGCGCCAGCTTTCCTCTCTGTGAACCAGCTAAAATGAAGACCCCTGTACAATATTCACAGCAACAAAATTCTCCACAAAAACATAAGAACAAAGACCTGTATACTGCTGGGAGAAGAGAATCTGTGCATCTGGGTAAAAGGGAAGGCTTCAAGGCTGGTGATAAAACTCTTACGCCCAGGAAGCTTTCAACTAGAAATCAAACACCAGCTAAAGTTGAAGACACAGCTGACTCTGCCGCCAAGCCAGAAAATCTCTCTTCCAAAACCAGAGGAAGTATTCCTACAGATGTGGAAGTTCCGCCTACAGAAACTGAAATTCACAATGAGCCATTTTTAACTCTGTGGCTCACTCAGGTTGAAAGGAAGATCCAAAAGGATTCCCTCAGCAAGCCTGAGAAATTGGACACTACCGCTGGACAGATGTGCTCTGGGTTACCTGGTCTTAGTTCAGTTGATAACAGCAACTTTGGTGATGCCATTAGTAAGTTTATTTAATTGTAAATTTGTTTTTTCTAAAAGATGAACAACTTCTATGTAGCTATGAGATCTTCCTTCATTCAGTAGTGATTAGCTTTGTGGAAGAGAATGTAAGCGCGTAAGGCACAGGGAGAAGACAGACACACACACTGTTTTCGCTGACAGATGAATGCTGAAGGCCTAGGTAATTATAACAAGAAATGACAGAGGAGATGGAGGTTGTCAGGGAAGCATGAAGCAGGGGTTATTGAAGGATATAGGGTGGCCCCAAAAATATTTGATTCTCCTCCATCTATCACAAAATAGAAAAGAGAATAATCATAATTGCTTTTCACATGGAGTTCTGAACTACAATCAACTGTATCATATGAGTTTGGTCGTGTGGAATAAATCACTGGAAATCATTGAACATAGTGGTAGTTCTCAGGTGTTGATACTCTGATTTCAGAGTGTCCTACAAACAATTTGCTGTAAACACTGGACTGTACCCATGAATCTATATGCCAGGCAGATTTCCACGCGCTTGGCAGACATGAACACTTGATCCTTGGTGCAGTAGCAGTGCCCATGGCTAGGTTGTCTTTTTAGATCTGTGTCACAAATGAGGAAACGGACAACCCAAGGCCACCCAGGCAGTGGCTGAGATAGGACCTTCACAGCAGATATGCTAGCTCCTTGGGAGCTTCCTACACTCCTAGGGATTGGCTATTAGAAGAAAAGTTGTCTGGGCCATAGACGCGGTATTCATACTCCAGGCTCTGTTTCTGCAGGTGGCCCGTAGCGGTGGGGCATGAGGCTATCGATAAAATAAGGCCTGTAACATCAGTCTCAGTGTTCCACCAAGCCTCCTCGTGGGAAAGCATCACTTAGGCAAGGGATTTACATTAACTGGTGGCTCAGGAAAATGTGTGGCCAGGACTGAGCTCAGAACCACCTGGAGGAGTTTTTACAGCTCATGCATTCCGGTCACTGGGTGGGTCAGGGTGAGGTCCAAGTTCATGTCTTTAGAGAGTTCTCTCCGGCTGTCGTCCCCCTACTCCAAGGTGAAAGCTACTGCTGCAGACTCCTCCTTTCTATGTCCGCGCATAATGTTTCAGCATTTTAGGGAAAGCCTCTGTACTGTCCAGTGGGAACTTGACGTCTTAGTGGCCACTCCCGCAATCCTTCAGGAACCCTTAGTAGCTTAGCTTCGCCAGGACTGCAAGAATGGAGGCGTGCTGTGGGTGGTGTTTCGATGACTTTTCACTTGGTTCGTGTTTAATACTAATGTGAAGTATACTTCACATATACATAATACTAATGAAGTATAATCACTAGTCTCAGTGTGTTTTTTCATTGCTCTTTTCACATTTGTATTCATTACTTTAGATGAGAGTGAGGGAATACCTTTGAAAAGAAGGCGTGTGTCCTTTGGTGGGCACCTAAGACCTGAATTGTTTGATGAAAACTTGCCTCCTAATACGCCTCTCAAAAGGGGAGAAACCCCAACCAAAAGAAAGTCTCTGGTAACGCACACTCCACCTGTCCTGAAGAAAATCATCAAGGTGAGTTGAACAATTAGCATTCCCATTCACATCCAGTGGCTCACACACCGGGTACATATTCCTTTCCAAATACTGACACAAGTGGAATTATGATGAAGACCTTTATTTATCTATTTATTTACTTATTTATTTATTTATTTATTCGAAGAAACAAGTTTTTAAAAAGACGAAATGAAAGCTCATTGATTACGGTGCCAGCAAAGGAGCCCCTGGGTCCCTGACCATGGTGCTGATGCGACCGAGTCGGGGGAGTCCTTGATGTTGTCCTTTTCGTGCAGAAGTTCCCAGACACTCATGCTTACAGCACTGCGTAATCACCAGCAGGCACCGTCAGAACAACCAATTACAAAGATTCTGGATACATTACCACATTGACCCACAAGGATTGTTTTACTTTCTTTTAGAGTTACAAGGCTATAGTTAAGGCATTTACCTGGTGTAAAGGAAAATCATCAATGGCACATCTAGCTTTTACACCATCAGCTTTGAGAATATTTGCTTACCTCTTCCTTTGCTGTGTTGTCCTTCCTGGGTTTTACACCCCTGGGAACTCATGGCCCTATAGCTCATAACCTTCATAATGGGGCCTAGGCGGTCTTTCTTTTCTTCTGTTCCCAACAGGAGTGGAAAGTGATGCCTGGCTCCCTTTCCATTTTACACTGGCTCCCAGGGGCAAGCGGCCCTCCTTCCATGTGGGCTGCCGGGCCCTGGGTGCCCACGGCTGGTATTTACTGGGACTGAGATCAGATCCTGCTTGTCTTTCACTCATCAGGACGTTCATTCCACCTTTCTACTTGAAATAACCTCACTTCAGACTTTGCTTGCTTCTGTTTCCTGTTTTTCCTTCAATGACTGAGACAGTCACACCTCTACCATAGTCTTGAAAGACAGTGGCTTAAGCATTTGATGCTTCAAGATTTAAACAGCTGAAATTCTTAATTGAATAGGTTTTTATCAGTCATTCCAGAGATGTTACATCCTTGTTAAAGCTTCTTGTCAACAATTTTGTCTTGTCAGGAACAGCCTCAACCATCAGGAAAACAAGAGTCAACTTCAGAAATCTGTGTGGAAGTGAAGGCACAAAGCTTGGTTAGAAGCCCTCCAGCTCCTAGTCCTAGGAAAACTCCAGTTGCCAATGATCAACGCCGTAGGTCCTGCAAAGCAGCCCCTGCTTCCAGCAGCAAATCTCAGACAGAGGTTCCTAAGAGAGGAGGGAGAAAGAGCGGCAACCTGCCTTCAAAGAGAGCATCTATCAGCCGAAGTCAACATGATATTTTACAGATGATATGTTCCAAAAGAAGAAGTGGTGCTTCGGAAGCCAATCTAATTGGTTAGTCTTGCGTTAGAACACATATATTAAGGTGAATTGTTTCATGAATGCTAGTTTTTGAAAAGTTTCATCATCTTTTTCCTTTGACAGTTGCAAAATCATGGGCAGATGTAGTAAAACTTGGTGCAAAACAAACACAAACTAAACTCATAAAACATGGTCCTCAAAGGTCAATGAACAAAAGGCAAAGAAGACCTGCTACTCCGAAGGTAGGGGCCTCACTGAATGCTGCTTTACACATCCGGGTGTCATGGAAGCTTGCATTCAGTGTGGATTCACGCTTTAATGTCCTGTTTACCTCCTTCCTATTTTCCACAGAAGCCTGTGGGCGAAGTTCACAGTCAATTTAGTACAGGCCATGCAAACTCTCCTTGTACCATAATAATAGGGAAGGCTCATACTGAAAAAGTACACGTGCCTGCTCGACCCTACAGAATGCTCAACAACTTCGTTTCCAACCAAAAAATGGACTTTAAGGAAGATCTTTCAGGTAAAAACATAGCCTTAGATCTTATAAATCTTTTGACTCTACTGTTTTTTACTGTGTTAATGTTTGTTTTGCTAACTATGTTCATCTGCTGTGAAAGGGATTATAAAAAACGACTGAGTCACCTTTCTGGGGTCTTAGTGTTCAGGGAAGACAAAGCTGGTTTGGCTTGTAAGGACAAGTCTCTACTAATTTTTGGGATCACGTGTCCTGCGTGAAATAGGTGTGGAAATGTCAAATGCATATCTTTACCCTGGAGAGCAGTGTATACATAGAAAGCTGGAAGGTGCTTTACAGTGAAGAGAGTTAACTTGTTATACCTGCAGCTACACTAATAGTTTATCCCAGGTGTGGACCAGTTGTTTTTGAGCGATATTCTGCTTCTTCAGGATTTACTTTCTAGGTAGCTTAACTTTCTTGAAAGAAAGCCCTATGAGAAGATTCCCATAAACAATTGATTGTTGAAGAAATGTTTCTACTCGATTCCCACTCTGGGTAAATTGTGGCTTGACTTGTGTAATTTAAAGTGGGAATGGCCAGCACGGTGGCTCACGCGTGTAATTCCAGCACTTTGGGAGGCCGAGGTGGGCGGATCACCTGAGGTGCGGAGTTTGAGACCATCCTGGCCAACATGGTGAAACCCCGTCTCTACTAAAAATACAAAATTAGCTGGGTGTGGTAGTGCATGTCTGTAGTCCCAGCTACTCGGGAGGCTGAGGCAGGAGAATCACTTGAACCCGGGAGACAGAGGTTGTGGTGAGCCGAGATTGCGACATTGTACTCCAGCCTGGGCAACAGGAGCGAAACTCTGTCTCAAAAAATTAAAAAATAAAATAAAGTGGGGATGATGTAGCAGACAGGGATGGTGGCAGGAGAGCGATTGTAGGTTTTGTGTTGTATAATTTGTCCAGTAGTTTCTACCGTGTACTATTTGGAAGGGTGGTGAGAGTTGAATTGAACAGGGGGAACCTTATTTTTGTTTTCTAGCAGATTGAGTTGTAAGAGTTGTACTCCTCCGTAATGGATGCAACATACCCTCTGATGAGTCATATTCGGATCAGTTCATTAATCTTTTTTAAAAAACCAAGAAGACAAAAATACAAGACCAAAACAAAAAATATGGATATGTATATATGAGTATTCTTGTAAATTATGAACATGTATGAATGTTCTAATATGTGTGTTACAAAATGTTAAAAACAAACCCTCAAAAATACTTTCTAGGAAAAACAAAATGCTAAATACTCAGTGTGTGGGACAGTGGATGGTCCCCAGCATCCCAGCGTTCTTTGTTTTTCTTTTTTTTTTTTTTTGAGACAGTGTCTCTCTCAGTCACCAGACTGGAGTGCAGTGGCACAATCTCAGCTCACTGCAGCCTCCAACTCCCAGGTTCAAGCAATTCTCCTGCCTCAGCCTCCCAAGTAGCTGGGACTACAGGTGTGTGCCACCACACCCAGCTGATTTTTGTATTTTTAGTAGAGATGGGGTTTCACCATGTTGGCCAGGCTGGTCTCTATCTCCTGACCTCGTTAATCTGCTCACCTCAGCCTCCCAAAGTGCTGGAATTACAGGCATGAGCCATCACGCCTGGCCCGTTCTTTCTTTTAAGATGGTTTCCTAGAGTCAAGCAGTTCTCACCTGTTAGTATGAGTGAATTTCATTACAAAACATTAGCATCTGCTGAAGACTAAATCCTAGGCATTTTATGTAGAAGGGGAGATTTTTGTGAATGGACTGGTTTGGAAGGGAGTTTTCAGAACAGGCTTCCCCTGAACATTTTGCGTATGACTGCCAGGTTGAAATAGCACTTGCATCCAGTGAGGCCAGAATGATACAAGTAAGGAGGACATGAGATGATAAGAGTTTTGCAGAGTTGCAACTTCTATATAAATTGCTTTGTTATTATTTTTTTCCTGAGATTATATCAGTACTACTTTTTTTGGTGTTAAAATGTTACCTGCAGCTACACTAGTAGTTTATCCCAGGTGTGGACCAGTTGTTATTGAGCAATATTTTGCTTCTTCAGGATTTACTTCCTAGGTGGCTTAACTTTCTTAAAGCCCTATGAGAAGATTCCTGTAAACAATTGATTGTTGAAGAAATGTTTCCACTCGATTCCCACTCTCAGTAAATTGTAGCCTGACTTGTATAATTTAAAGTGGGGATGGCCGGCACGGTGGCTCACGTCTATAATCCCAGCACTTTGGGAGGCTGAGGCCTCCTATCATTCCAAATGGAATGATAATGATATAAAATTTTTTAAAAATATATATTATTACTTGACAGTACTAAAAATGGGCAGCTCTTTGTCATTGTCTAAAATGTGGGCACATGTTATTTGTATTTTAAACCTAGAAGTGAGCACCCAAGACTTTGAGAAGCATGAAGGCATTTGGCCTCTAGATCCCAGCAGGGAGGCCTGTGGGTCTCAGGAGCCTATCACCAGCTTCCGTGCTCCAGAGCTCAGGTGTGGGGTCTAGTTAGAAGGACCACAGAGGTCAACTAACTTCATTTGTTTCCTTTCCAAGAAAAGCAAAGCAAAGAGCATAACATATCTTCTCTTTGCTTTCTTTTTTACAAAATGAGTACATTATTGATGGAATCACCCTTTTTATGAGGCCTATGTACCAGGAATTCAAGGGAGGAATCTGCTGTTATTTCCCACCATTTGCATGTTACATGTGAGGACTGGGATGGTTGTTTGCATGTTTGCAATATGTCAATCACTTTTCATATGTCTTCATGTAACAGGAATAGCTGAAATGTTCAAGACCCCAGTGAAGGAGCAACCACAGTTGACAAGCACATGTCACGTCGCTATTTCAAATTCAGAGAATTTGCTTGGGAAACAAGTTCAAGCAACTAATTCAGGAGAAGAACCTCTGCTGCCCACCTCAGAGAGTTTTGGTCGGTTTCCTTGTTTCCTACCACTGTGATGTTTTGGGATAGGAACATACAGTATTATGTTTTTAGAAGCAGTATGATATTACTTCTCTAAAAGAAATGTTCCTGGCAGAAAATACCATTTCCGTCTTCTCTGTTCTAATTGAAAGGGAGATTTCAATCAGCAGTTGAGCTAACATTGGCATTCATTGACTTACATAGAAAGAAAGACTCCGTTAATGTGTGTAAATGACCTGTGTACACTTTTGGCTTCTTTATTATAAGTAACCAGGGAGACATAGCAAAAAAGTACAATGGTGTCTCACCATATTTACGTATAAATTACTCAAATTCAAAATTATTGCCAATTACAAAACAAAAGATAACAGTTTGTATACTGTACAATTATTCCTGCTAACCTTCTAGGTGGGAGCAGGCCCGGGATGAGTGTGAGATGGGAGATGAGAATCTGTCTAATCTCTCATTTGGCACTGGTCACTGTGTTCCTGTCATAGAGGGAACAGCTTGCTACCCTGAAGATGTTTGTGGTAGGTAAATATTTCCTGTGTAATATGGACCCTAACCACACAAGGATAATCCATGTTATTTTATTGGTAATTTAAGGCAAGAAACAGCTGTTTGTTTCTGATGTTTGAAGGAAAAAATGCCTGTATTTTCATCAATGACACAGGGCATGGCAACCTTTGGAGGATCCTTCTTAAGCAATATTTTTACCTTCTATAATCATTTCAGCATCTAACTTGCTTAATGATGACCCCACTATAGCACCAAATAATATTATTCTTAATTGTGCATGGCTTTTATAAAACAGATTTATAGACATATAAGTAGCCTCGTTGTTAAGTGAATACGAAGCTGAATATTTAGTTTTTTACTATATTTTATGAGGCTATAATACTCGATTGACATGAGACACTAATAGAATGTATTTATTGTATATGTTTTTATTTCAGGAGGAAATGCGTTCTTCAGTGCACAGAATTCAGCAAAACAGCCATCTGATAAATGCTCTGCAAGCCCTCCCTTAAGACGGCAGTCTATTAGAGAAAATGGAAACATAGCAAAAACTCCCAGGAACACCTACAAAATAACTTCCGTGGAGACAAAAACTTCAGATACTGAGACAGAGCCTTCAAAAACAGTATCCATCGTAAACAAGTTAAGAAGGTCTATGGAGTTCAGAAATATACAGAAGCTACCTATAGAAAGTAAGAGTGAAGAAACAAATACAGACACTGTTGAGCGCATCCTAAAAAGATGTCAGAAGGCAACACTACTACAACAAAGGAGAGAAGGAGAGATGAAGGAAATAGAAAGACCTTTTGAGACATATAAGGAAAATATTGAATTAAAAGAAAATGATGAAAAGACGAAAGCAGTGAAGAGATCAAGAAGAACTTGGGGTCCGAAATGTGAACCAACGTCTGATCTGACAGACCTCAAGAGCTTGCCTGATACAGAACACACGAAAGACACGGCATGTGGCCAGGATCTCCTCCAAACCCAAGATCATGCCAAGGCACCAAAGAGTGAGAAGGGCAAAATCACTAAAATGCCCTGCCAGTCATTACAACCAGAACGAATAAACACCCCAACACACATAAAACAACAGCCGAAGGCATCCCTGGGGAAAGTGGGTGTGAAAGAAGAGCTCTTAGCAGTCGGCAAGCTCACACGGACGTCAGGGGAAACCACACATACACACAGAGAGCCAGCAGAAGATGGCAAGAACATCAGAATGTTTAAGGAGTCTCCAAAGCAGATCCTGAACCCAGCAGCCTGTGTAACTGGAATGAAGAAGTGGCCAAGAACGCCTAAGGAAGAGGCGCGATCACTAGAAGACCTGGCCGGCTTCAAAGAGCTCTTCCAGACACCAGGTCCCACTGAGGAATCAATGACTAAAGAGAAAACTATCAAAATAGCCTGCAAATCTCCACCACCAGAATCAGTGGACACTCCAACAAGCACAAGGCAACGGCCTAAGAGAGGTATCAGGAAAGCAGATGTAGAGGAAGAATTCTTAGCACTCAGGAAACTAACACCATCAGCAGGGAAAACCATGCACACACCCAAACCAACAGGAGGTGATGAGAAAGATATTAAAGCTTTTATGGGAACTCCAGTGCAGAAACTGGACCTGCCAGGAACTTTACCTGGCAGCAAGAGACAGCTGCAAACTCCCAAGGGAAAGGCCCAGGCTCTAGAAGACCTGGCTGGCTTTAAAGAACTATTCCAGACTCCTGTTCTTACTGAGGAATTAGTGGCTGCCGGCAAAACCACTAAAATATCCTGCAAATCTCCACAGCCAGACCCAGTGGACACCCCAACAAGCACAAAGCAACGGCCCAAGAGAAGTCTCAGGAAAGCAGATGTAGAGGGAGAATTCTTAGCATTCAGGAAACTAACACCGGCAGCTGGCAAAGCCATGCACATACCTAAACCAGCAGTAGGTGAAGAGAAAGGCATCAACACATTTGTGGGAACTCCAGTGCAGAAACTGGACCTGACAGAGAACTTAACTGGCAACAAGAGATGGCCACATACTCCTAAGGAAAAGGCCCAGGCTCTGGAAGACCTGACTGGCTTTAAAGAGCTCTTCCAGACACCTGGTCATACTGAGGAAGCAGTGGCTGCTGGCAAAACTACTAAAATGCCCTGCAAATCTTCTCCACCAGAATTAGCAGACACCCCAACAAGCACAAGAAGGCAGCCCAAGACACCTCTGGGGAAAAGGGATGTACAGAAAGAGCTCTCAGCTCTGAAGAAGCTCACACAGACCACACACACAGACAAAGTACCAGGAGGTGAGGATAAAAGCATCAAAGCATTTAAGGAAACTGCAAAACAGAGACTGGACCCAGCAGCAAGTGTAACTGGTAGCAAGAGGCAGCCGAGAACTCCTAAGAGAAAAGCCCAACCCCTAGAAGACCTGGCTGGCTTGAAAGAGCTCTTCCAGACACCAGTATGCACTGACAAGCCCACAACTCATGAGAAAACTACCAAAATAGCCTGCAGATCTCCACAACCAGACTCAGTGGACACACCAACAAGCTCTAAGCCACAGTCCAAGAGAAGTCTCAGGAAAGTGGATGTAGAAGATTTCTTAGCACTCAAGAAACGAACGCCATCAGCAGGCAAAGCCATGCACATACCCAAACCAGCAGTAAGTGATGAGAAAAATATCAACGCATTTGTGGGAACTCCAGTGCAGAAACTGGACCTCCCAGAGAACTTAACTGGCAGCAAGAGACGGCTACAAACTCCCAAGGAAAAGGCCCAGGCTCTAGAAGACCTGTCTGGTTTTAAAGAGCTCTTCCAGACACCAAGTCACACTGAGGAATCAATGACTAATGATAAAACTGCCAAAGTAGCCTGCAAATCTTCACAACCAGACCCAGACAAAACCCCAGCAAGCTCCAAGGGACGGCTGAAGACATCCCTGGGGAAAGTGGGCGTGAAAGAAGAGCTCCGAGCAGTTGGCGAGCTCACACAGACGTCAGGGGAGACTACACACACACACACAGAGCCAACAGGAGATGGTAAGAGCATCAAAGCATTTATGGAGTCTCCAAAGCAGATCTTAGATTCAGCAGCAAGTCTAACTGGCAGCAAGAGGCAACCGAGAACGCCTAAGGGAAAGTCTGAAGTCCGTGAAGACCTGGCCGGCTTCAAAGATCTCTTCCAGACACCTGGTCACACTAAGGAATCAATGACTAATGAAAAAACTACCAAAATATCCTACAGATCTTCACAACCAGACCCGGTGGACACCCCAACGAGCTCCAAGCCACAGCCCAAGAGAAGTCTCAGGAAAGCAGATGAAGAAGAATTTTTAGCATTTAGGAAACGAACACCATCAGCAGACAAAGCCATGCACACACCCAAACCAGCAGGAGGTGAAGAGAAAGACATCAACACATTTACGGGAACTCCAGTGCAGAAACTGGACCCGCCAGAAAATTTACCTGGCAGCAAGAGACGGCTACAAACTCCTAAGGAAAAGGCCCAGACTCTAGAAGACCTGACTGGGTTCAGAGAGCTTTTCCAGACACCATGCACTGATAACCCCACGACTGATGAGAAAACTACCAAAATACTCTGCAAATCTCCACAACCGGACCCAGTGGACACCCCAACAAGCACAAAACAACGGCCCAAGAGAAGCCTCAAGAAAGCAGACGTAGAGGAAGAATTTTTAGCATTCAGGGAACTAACGCCACCAGCAGCAGGCAAAGCCATGCACACGCCTAAACCAGCAGTAGGTGAAGAGAAAGTCATCAACACATTTGTGGGGACTCCAGTGCAGAAACCGGACCTGCCAGGAAACTTACCTGGCAGCAAGAGACGGCCACAAACTACTAAAGAAAAGGCCAAGGCTCTAGAAGACCTGGCTGGCTTCAAAGAGCTCTTCCAGACACCAAGTCACACTGAGAAATCAATGACTGACGACAAAATCACAGAAGTATACTGCAAATCTCCACAACCAGACCCAGTCAAAACCCCAACAAGCTCCAAGCGACGACTCAAGACATCCTTGGGGAAAGTAGGCGTGAAAGAAGAGGTCCTACCAGTCAGCAAACTCACACAGACGTCAGGGAAGACCACGCAGACACACAGAGAGACAGCAGGAGATGGAAAGAGCATCAAAGTGTTTAAGGAATCTGCAAAGCAGATGCTGGACCCAGCAAACTATGGAACTGGGATGAAGAGGTGGCCAAGAACGCCTAAGGAGGAGGCGCGATCACTAGAAGGCCTGGCCGGCTTCAAAGAGCTCTTCCAGACACCAGGTCCCACTGAGGAATCAACGACTGATGACAAAACTACCAAAATAGCCTGCAAATCCCCACCACCAGAATCAGTGGACACCCCAACAAGCACAAGAAGGCGGCCCAAAACGCCTTTGGGGAAAAGGGATGTAGAGAAAGAGCTCTCAGCCCTGAAGAAGCTCACACAGACCACACACACAGACAAAGTACCAGAAGGTGAGGATAAAAGCATCAAAGCATTTAAGGAAACTGCAAAACAGAGACTGGACTCAGCAGCAAGTGTAACTGGTAGCAAGAAGCAGCTGAGAACTCCTAAGAGAAAAGCCCAACCCCTAGAAGACCTGGCTGGCTTGAAAGAGCTCTTCCAGACACCAATATGCACTGACAAGCCCACAACTCATGAGAAAACTACCAAAATAGCCTGCAGATCTCCACAACCAGACCCAGTGGACACCCCAACAATCTTCAAGCCACAGTCCAAGAGAAGTCTCAGGAAAGCAGATGTAGAGGAGGAATTCTTAGCACTCAGGAAGCTAATACCGTCAGTAGGGAAAGCCATGCACACGCCCAAACCATCAGGAGGCGATGAGAAAGACATGAAAGCATTTCTGGGAACTCCAGTGCAGAAATTGGATCTGCCAGGAAATTTACCTCGCAGCAAGAGACGGCCACAAACTCCTAAGGAAAAGGCCCAGCCTCTGGAAGATCTGACTGGCTTCAAAGAGCTCTTCCAGACACCAGGCACTGACAAGCCCACGACTGATGAGAAAACTACCAAAATGCCCTGCAAATCTCCACAACCAGACCCAGCAGACACCCCAGCAAGCACAAAGCAACAGCCCAAAAGAAGTCTTAGGAAAGCAGACGTAGAGGAAGAATTTTTAGCACTCAGGAAACTAACGCCGTCAGCAGGCAAAGCCATGGACACACCCAAACCAGCAGTAAGTGATGAGAAAAATAACACATTTATGGAAATTCTAGTGCAGAATCTGGACCTGCCAGGAAATTTACCTGGCAGCAAGAGACGGCCACAAACTCCTAAGGAAAAGGCTGAGGCTCTAGAGGACCTGGCTGGCTTCAAAGAGCTCTTCCAAACACCAGGTCACACTGAGGAATCAATGACTGATGACAAAATGACAGAAGTATCATGCAAATCTCCACAGCCAGAGTCATTCAAAACCTCAAGAAGCTCCAAGCAAAGGCTCAAGATATCCCTGGTGAAAGTGGACATGAAAGAAGAGCCCCTAGCGGTCAACAAGCTCACACGGACATCAGGAAAGACTACGCAAACACACACACAGCCAACAGGAGATAGTAAGAGCATCAAAGCATTTAAGGAGTCTCCAAAGCAGATCCTGGACCCGGCAGCAAATGTAACTGGTAGCAAGAGGCAGCTGAGAACTCGTAAGGAAAAGGCCAGTGCTCTAGAAGACCTGACTGGCTTCAGAGAGCTCTTCCCAGCACCAGGTCACACTGAACAGTCAATGACTGTTGACAAAAACACAACAATGCCCTGCAAATCTCCCCCAGCAGAACCAGCAGACACTGCCACGAGCACAAAGAGATACCCCAAGACACATCTCAGGAAAGAAGTGAAAGAGGAGCTCTCAGCACTTGAGAGGCTCACACAAAGCTCAGGGCAAAGCACACACACACACAAAGAATTAGCAAGTGGTGATGAAGGCATCAAAGTATTTAAACAACGTGCAAAGAAGAAACCGAACCCAGTAGAAGAGGAACCCAGCAGGAGAAGGCCAAGAGCACCTAAGGAAAAGGCCCAACCCCTAGAAGACCCGGCCGGCTTCAAAGAGCTCTCTGAACCATCAGGTCACACTCAGGAACCACTGACTGCTGGCAAAGCCACTAAAATACCCTGCAAATCTCCCCCAGTAGAAGTAGTAGACACCACAGCAAACACAAAGAGGCATCTCAGGACACGTGTGCAGAAGGTACAAGTAAAAGAAGAGCCTTCAGCAGTTAAGTTCACACAAACATCAGGGGAAACCACGGACACAGACAAAGAACCAGTAGGTGAAGATAAAGGCATCAAAGCAGTGAAGGAATCTGCAAAACAGACACTGGCTCCAGCAGCAAGTGTAACTGGCAGCAGGAGACGGCCAAGAGCACCCAGGGAAAATGCCCAAGCCCTGGAAGACCTGGCTGACTTCAAAGACCCAGCACCAGGTCACACCGAAGAATCAATGACTGATGACAAAACCACTAAAATACCCTGCAAATCATCACCAGAACTAGTAGACACTGCAACAAGTTCAAAGAGACGGCCCAGGACACGTGCCCAGAAAGTAGCAGTGAAGGAGGAGCTGTTAGCAGTCGGCAGTCTCACACAAACATCAGGGGAGACTGCGCACACCGACAAAGAGCCGGTAGGCGAGGACAAAGGCATGAAAGCATTTAAGCAACCTGCAAAGCAGAAGCTGGACGCAGAAGATGTCATTGGCAGCAGGAGACGCCCAAGAGCACCTAAGGAAAAGGCCCAACCCCTAGAAGATCTGGCCAGCTTCCAAGAGCTCTCTCCAACACCAGGCCACACTGAGGAACTGGCAAATGGTGCTGCTGATAGCTTTACAAGTGCTCCAAAGAAAACACCTGACAGTGGAAAACCTCTAAAAACATCCAGAAGAGTTCTTCGGGCCCCTAAAGTAGAACCCGTGGGAGACCTGGTAAGTACCACAGACCCTGTAAAATCACAAAGCAAAAGCAACACTTCCCTGCCCCCACTGCCCTTCGAGAGGGGAGGTGGCAAAGATGGAAGTGCCACAGGAACCAAGAGACTGCGCTGCATGCCTGTTCCGGAGGAGATCGCGGAGGAGCTGCCAGCCAGCAAGAAGCAGAGGGTTGCTCCCAGGGCGAGAGGCAAATCACCAGAACCCGTGGTCATCATGAAGAGAAGTTTGAGGACTTCTGCAAAAAGAATTGAACCTGTGGAAGAGCTGAACAGCAACAACATGAAAACCAACAAAGAGGAACACAAATTACAAGACTCGGTCCCTGAAAATAAGGTGAGAGGAAGTATTACAGCGTCACCCAATATCATCTTGGATAGTTGTCAGTTTCTGTGTTATACTTTGCATGTAACCTGACGTTATAAGTGGTTATCATTTCCCAGATGGGTTTCATTTAACACAGTGAACAACTGCAGGCCATGGTAAAGAATCTTCTTGGGACCTATAGAGGGAACAGACTAATTTGGGAAAAGAACGAGTCAAAAATGATAAAATGATTAATGCAAACTTAGAAGAGTTTCTCAAGAGCCAAATGAGTAATGTTCATCTTCATATGTTTGAAAAATTGATCAGAGGATAGGTGGGTGGTTCAGTTCTATGTTCCAGATACTGTCACCAAGACCAGGACTGGGTTAAAAATAATATCTATGTCACTATTTTAACTATCAGAACAATATCGATAGGGAGTGTGTATTCTTGAGAAGGGGGAAACTGTCCGGACTGTTAGAGAGGTTCCTACTGCATCCGGAAAAGTTTGGGGAAACTCCAGAAATGGCAATTTCCTATTCTGCCTTAGCAGTGATGGTTAAAGGAATAGGAGTTCATTTACTCTCTGTAAATGAATGAATAATGGAGCTTCTTTCTATAAACTGTAAAAATTAGATTTGATATATGTCTTTTTAGGCATTGTTATTGAAATTTATCCTGAATGCCTTATTTGTAATTTGTCAGCAGAGACAGTCATTTCTCCATAGGAACAAAGTACCAAGGCATTACCTTGACTATCTTAGATGACAGGTTTCTTAGAAAATTCATCAGTGTGTAATTTTCAAATGATTTCTCCTTTTAGTTTACTGTTGTTGATTGTTCTCCCTGTTGAATTTTGAAGTTTGTTTTACTAATTATTGGAATTTTGTGGATGTCTTCTCATTTCTTTAGGGAATATCCCTGCGCTCCAGACGCCAAAATAAGACTGATGTAGAACAGCAAATAACTGAGGTCCTGGTATTAGCAGAAAGAATAGAAATAAACAGAAATGAAATGAAGCCCATGAAGACTTCCCCAGAGATGGACATTCAGAATCCAGATGACGGAGCCCGGAAACCCATATCTCGAGGCAAAGTCAGTGAAAACAAAAGGTGCTTGAGGTCTGTGAGACAGAATAAGAGCTCCCAGCCTAAGGTGGCAGAGGAGAGCGGAGGGCAGAAGAGCGCAGGGGTTCTCATGCAGAATCAGGAAGGGAAAGGAGAAGCAGGAAATTCAGACTCCATGTGTTTGAGATCAAGAAAGACGAAAAGCCAGTCTGCAGCAAGCTCTTTGGAGAGCGAATCTGCACAGAGAGTAACGCGGAGTGTCAAGAGGTGTGCAGAAAATCCAAAGAAGGTAAGCCGTGTACTGTTTTCCGTTTTTAAAAGAAACAGTGTTTTGATGTATTTTTTTGCCCAAGGTTGCAAAGGCAAACAAAAAGCATTATTTTCAACAGCATTCTGCCAGCTCCCAGTTACATTCATGGAAGGAGCATTATCCTAAGATACACGTTTTGTCATTTTAGTTATATTTTGTTGTGTCTGCTTTGGGGATTCCACTTCAAACAGCAAATTCACATTATGAAGACTTTCTTCAGAAAGAAAAGGAATTTGTCTAGTGGCTAATTGACTGCTTATGATGTACCTCATGATACAATTGCAGGTAGCTGTCTTCAGCCTTTCTGTAGTGCAAAAACACCTATTGAAACAGAAAAGTTCTTCCCCCCCCCCCAAAAAAAAACAAACTATTGAAACAGAAAAATGTCCAAGGAATTCTTTGGAAAGGTAGAAGGAACAGAGGTTGGGGTGGCCCTGAGACACACGCTGACTATGTGAGAATTCCTGATCAGTGGGGAGTGCTTCTGCCCTCCAACCCTCCTCCAGCCAGAGACTATCTAAGCTAATGAGCTTTAAGTGCTACTGAAATCACATCAAGTTTAGCCACACATAATTACAAGCATGTGGACAAATCGATAAGAATGATTCAATTCCATTAGTGTTCTTCTGGGGAATACTTGGTTTAGCTAAAATAAAAATAGGTTGAATTGCTCCCTGTTTGTGAGTGGTAGAAATGTAATTCTTAGCACACACAAAATTTGGACCTAAAACTACCATATTCTGAGTTCAGCAAACAAAACTGATGTAGCAATAACCTCTTCAGATACAGAATTCTGGCAAGTACAGCTGTCCAGACAGACCTTCAGCACAAATTAGGAAGCTTCAACTGCCAAGAAGAGGAAAGATTCCCCAATACCTGCTGCATAGCCAGGCAGCCAGTGGAGGCAGAGGGCTTGTGTGTCTGGATGGTGGGCAGGAAGTCCTAGTGGGGAGATGTCCATAGACTGTTCCAGAGAGGGAAGAGGGGAGGCTCAACAAGGACACTGATGCCCACACAGGTGTCCTAAGTCAGAGACTACTTCTGGGGCAGGCTGGAAGCAGAAGACATCTGACAGTGCCAGACAAGGTCCTAGAGACCACAGGGACACCAGGGATGCAACAGCTGATGTGGGTGAGCACATTCACCCGTCCAGTCTTACAATAAAACACAGGCTCTAGGCGCTCACCGAATTCACAGTCTGGAAGGTGCTGCTTCATCAGAATGAAACAAAAGAAGGGTGAAAGCAAATCTTTTAACTAGGATGATTCCTAAACACAGAGCAACCAGGCCCAAGGCTGAGCCAGGCCCGGTGTGTTCTGCCAGGGGCGTTCCAGCCTCTTCTCACACACAAGCACCCAGGAGACGTCCAACACATACATGCTCCTCTATTGCTGAGTTCTTCGGTGGGTGTCGGTGGTCCTAGAAAATGCATATATAACAGATTTTTTCCAGTAAGAAGCTTATAGCCATGCTTTTCACCATGGTCCCTCCCCCTTAGCCAAGAGGTGAGAACTCCTGCAAGAGTGAAGGCCAAGGCAGATCCCCTGCGTGCAAGTTGGGGATAGTTCTGTCTATGGGAGCTGCTTGGTTTAGAAGACCCAAAAGAGTTAGTCCTGGTTGGATTCACTTTTTCTGAGTGACATTTTTTAGTTTGTGAAAATGTGTGCATTGATGAAGAAATTTTGTTTTATTATGTATTAGCTTAAAATGCATTAGGAACTTTTGTATGAAAAGATCACATTATTTAAGTGTAAACTGCATAATAAAAGCAGTTCAAGTCAAGAAAAACAACGTTAATGGAATATATTTTAAAACTTATTTCCAGCCTTAACATTCATTTTCTACACCTAAGGACTAGCATAATACCTAGTAAGCCTTTGACGTTTTGCAGAGGAGGTCGATTACAAAAATGGGTGTTTAAATTACTTAAGAGATCTTTTTTTTTTTCTTCCCACACAGGCTGAGGACATTGTGTACGTCAAGAAAATAAGAACCAGAAGTCACCGGGACAGTGAAGATATTTAACAAAAAAAATCGAACTGGGAAAAATATAATAAAGTTACTTTCGTGATAAGTTCTAATACAGTTTTTGTCATAAATTACAAGTGAATTCTGTAAGTAAGACTGTCAATCTGCTTAAGGGAAGAAAACTTTGAATTTGCTGGGTCTGAATCGGCCTCGTAAACTCCACTGGGAGCACTGCTGGGCTCCTGGACTGAGAACAGTTGAACACTGGGGGCTTTGGGAAGGAGTTTGGACCATGCTTTGCTCTCAGCTTTGCGGAATGAAGCCTTGAGGTCTATCATCACCCACAGCCACCCTACAGCAGCCTTAACTGTGACCCTTGCCACACTGTCATTGTTTAAATGTTTGCCTGTGTCCTCCAGGGCATGATGGCAGGAACATCTATGCTCGTCTGTCCCAGCACTGAGCAGGCACTTGGTAAACATGAATGAGAGGGTGAGTGCACCGATGAATGGAGCTTTTAAGATCTGTCTCCAATGGCTAGGCCCAGGGCATTTGCTCCCCACATTAAGGCAATTGGACATCTGCACAGGACAGTCCTATTTTTGGTGTCCTTTCCTTTCTGAAAATCAAGTGCTTTAGAGAATGACTTGTGAGCACATCTTTAGGGACCAAGAGTGAGTTTCTGTAAGGAGTGACTCATGGCTTGCCTTTGTCTCTCGGGAATACTTTTCTAACTAGGACTGCTCTCACCTGAGACATTCACCCGCGGAATCTCAGGGTCCCGGGCTGTGGCACATCATGACCTCAACCAGGCTGCTCATCTCCAGCTTCCCTGTCATTGAAAGCTTCAGAAGTTTACTGATTCTGCTCCTGCCTGTTCTCTTTCTGACTCTGACAGCCCAATGCCAGCCGGTATATGAAGTGACACCAGTACTCTGAAAAGCATCATCGTCCTTGGAGGGACTGAGCACTCAGCCTTTCAGCCACGATTTCAGGATCGCTTCCTTGTGAGCCGCTGCCTCCAAAATCTCCTTTGAAGCTCAGACATCTTTCTCCAGCTTCAGGCCTGTAGACATAACTTGTTCATCTCCATTTACTTTCCAGTTTGTCCCCTCTCCTCTCTGTATTCCCCAAATCAGAGAATAGCCCACCATCCCCCAGGTCACCTGTCTGGACTCCCCATTCACCCACTTTGCCAGGTGTAGGTGAGGATAACACACCAGACAGGGTAGCTGTCCCCCAGCAAGTGCCCTGTGTGGTCATTGCACCCCCATCTCCACGCTTGTCTCCCCAGTGTCTGGCGGGGAGCCACGTGACATGAATATTCGCTGAAGGAATGCAGAAATCAGTGGTACTGACTTGTGCTGTATTGGCTGCCATGATAGTGTTATAACAGCATCGTCCATGATCATAAGGGAGAATGACATTCTGCTTGAGGGAGGGAATAGAAGGGCAGGGAGGGGACATCTAAGGGCTTCACAGGGCTGCAAAGAGTACGGGGATTGCGCCAGGGCAGAACAAGGGAGGGTATTCAAGGAGGAGCGGCTCTTAGCGGAGGCACTTTGGAAGGTGTGAGGCATAAATGCTTCCTTCTAGGTAGGCCAACTTCAAAACCTTTAGTAGGAATGTTGCTATGATCAAGTTGTTCTAACACTTCAGACTTAGTAGTAATTATGAACCTTACATAGAGAAAAATTGTATCTAGCCATATGCCTGTGGAGTGGAATATTTTGTTTAGTAGAAAAATCCTTTAGAGTTCAGTTCTAACCAGAAATCTTGCTGAAGTGTGTCAGCACCTTTTCTCACCCTGGTAAGTACAGTATTTCAAGAGCACGCTAAGAGTGGTTTTCATTTTACAGGGCTGTTGACGGATTAGAAACGTTCATTCAAGGGCTACCGCTGTGTTTAATAGATGAACACCACTTCTACACAACCCTCCTTCACTTTGTATGGTGGGGAGGGAGGGAGCTGACAAATACTGCCCATTGCCCTGGGCTGACTACATTTGAGAACAAATACCCACCCATTCCCACCATGGCATGGTAACTTCTCTGAGCTTCAGTTTCCAAGTGAATTTCCGTGTGATAGGACATTCCCAATAAATAGAAGCTGTTTTTACTTTTTCGCCTCCCAGGGCCTGTGCGATCTGGTCCCCCAGCCTCTCCTGAGCTCTCTTACTCAACTGTACCCACTGTCTCCTGCCTGCCTTTGGCAGGCATCCCCAGCCAGCACACACTCCCTGCTGTTTTCACTGCCTGGAACTTTCACTCCGGCCCCACCAAGATCATTGCATCCAGTCCTGAACTCAGCTTAAGGGCGGCTTCCTGCCTGTGGGCTACCTCACCCCATGCCTGTCCTCCAGGCTCGGGCAGGTTCGTAGTTTGCCTGAAATTGTTCTGTACCTCTTTGTAGCACGTAGCATTGTGGACACCAAACCACTAATTGAGTTTCTGGCTCCCCTCCTGGGGTTGTAAGTTTTGTTCATTCATGAGGGCCGACTATGTATTTCCTGGTTACTGTATCCCAGTGACCAGCCACAGGAGATGCCCAACAAAGTGTGTGATGAAATGGTCTTAAAACCCACGGTATTTTTATTATAGGGAGAGTGGGGAAAGAAACTAAGTGTGGGTGGGGCGACAGGCCAGTGTAAGAGAGACTGATTCATTACGTTCCATTTTCATTTCTACGACTTGACTGGATGGTCATTTTCTCTCTTGGCCAATAAGTCATCGCAGCCACTTTTAGTCCTGCAGGAATGGCCTGCTGTGTTTCGAGAACTACCTGCAACCACAGCCGTGTCTGCTTTGTTGGAACAGAGGTGCTGAGTTGAGGGACGGGGATTTGACCCAGGGCAGCCCCAAGTCAGCAGATGAAAATACATGCCCTGACTTTCCTCTGGCAACCCTGATTTGACATGGATCCTGCGAGTGAATTTGCTGGCAAGTTCCAAGGGCAGGAGCCTGCAGTAGGTCAGTTAGTCCTGAAGAAGAGGTCTTTCTGTTGTAGTGAGATAAAAGTTTGCAGGTGGGTGCATCTAGGGCTCCTCACCATCTGGAGAGGCTGAGGAGGAAGGGAGGGAGAGCCATGCTCAGTGGTCAGTTTGGTCAGGGAAGAGGGGTCAGGCCCCAGCCCACATCCTGGGCTGTCATTGAGAGTCAACATGGCAAACGGCGACTCCATAAAGTCAGCTGTAGCTACTTAACTAAATGATTTTCTCTCATTTTTTTGGAAACAGGGTCTCACTCTGCCTCTCAGGCTGGAGTGCAGTGGTGCGATCTCTACTCACTGCAACCTCTGCCTCCCGGGTTCAAGCAGTTCTCGTGCCTCAGTCTCTTGGGTAGCTGGGATTAGAAGCGCTTGCAACCATGCTGGTTAATTTTTTTATTTTTAGTAGAGACAAGGTTTTGCTATATTTCCCAGCCTGGTCTTGAACTCCTGGCCTGCCCAGCTTGGCCTCCCAAAGTTCTGGGATTACAGGCATGAGCCACCATGCGTGGCCTTCTCAAGTATTTTTAATGTGCCACAGTGTTGTTTAATAACAGCTCAAAGAAAGGGCAAGTTACGCAGAGTGGCTGAATTTAGAAGGGCCACAGCAGCATAGGGGTGTCCTGGGTTGGAATTCTGTCTCTTCTATCACCTCCAACCTAACTTTGGTCTAGTTTCATATCCTCTGGAAGCCTCTGTTTCTCAGCCCTTGAGAGGATATTGTACAGATAATACCCATATAAAGGGCCCAGCACATAGGTGCTCATGGAATGAGAACTATTTGTGTATATGGCTCACTTTTTAAACCTAAAATACATATTTTGAAAATAAGAAAAGAGGAATGAAGTGAATATGTTGATTGTTACTATCATAGTCGTTCTGGGCTAATTGTTATAATGTGCTTATGCTTTCATCTTAATAGTGATTACTAAAAAACCACTGGGATTTTCCGTGCTCATTCAGATATCCTCTCTAATCACAGCATTAGTGCTCACCACAAAAGGGCCCCAAAGAACCGCTGTTGTGTTTGTTGGCCTCTGTTCTGAATGGTGTCCGTTTGCATCTTTGAGGGAGGTTTTGCTCAGGAAAGGGCTATTAGTGAGGGCAGGATGCTCTAGGCAACCTCGGACAGGATTCAGTGGTTGGGAAAAGAGGGGCAACCCCACACCTCAGCCACATGCTGGCCGCTCGGTGACACAAACCTCCAGGTGCACGGTCATTGGCAGACACTCCTGCAGGTGGCAACGCAGCCACATCAGGATGACATAACTTTCATCCATGGGGCTTTTCTGGATGGAGTGGGGATGTGTTACTTTCAGAAGGAGGGCACTGTCATGTAACCTCAGCATCCAGAGCAGAGCCAAATGTGAAGCTCACACCTCGGTCCAGCCTCTGCCGGGGCCTCTGAGTGCTTATAGCAAAGGCTGCTGGTCCATATGCAAGAGGGAAACAGGTTTTGGTTTCTAAGGCACAGATGGGCTCCTTTAGCCTAGAATTCTGGAGGGGAACCTGATCCTGTGAAGTGTTTCTTGAAACTTGGTGTGATCCCTGGAAGAAGCCCAGAGTCTTATTTGAGATGAGACTAGGATGTTGCCACAACATGCTGGGTGACAGTGTCGGTGCATTACTTGGTGCTGCTTCCTGGCAAGTACATTAAACAGCTGTCAGAGACGCTCTGATAAAGGAACAGAAGGGGCACAGTTATAATAGGAAAAACAAAGGGTTAGTACCTGTGTTTTCAACAGACTGACAATAAACAAGATAATAATAATAATAAAAGATTGACAATAAACCAACAAGGAAAACTCAATTGGCACAATGAGGAAAATGGATGAAACTCTGAATGGTGCTTCACTGATGAAACATAAATAACGCATGTATGAAAACATGCTCAACCCAATAGAACTCTGAGACATGCAAATTCACATGAAGTCTGATTTTTTTTTTGCCTCTCGGGTGTGCAAAAACTAAAAGGTTTGCTAATGTCCTGGGTGAGTGACTTCTAGGGAGACAACGCCATCATGCCCTGTTGGTGAGTTGGTGCCTGGGAAGATCCTTTGGAAGTGACAATTTGGTGTTTTCTACTTAAATTTAAAATGTGCATGCCCTTTGACCTGGAAACTTCACTTCTAGGGAATTCTCCCATAGAACTAGTCTGCACATTAGCAAACATACACAAATGCAGGAGTATTCATTATACAATTGAATTATAGAATTGCAGTGTGGAAACAAGTTAATGTCTGTCACTGGGGAGGTGGAGGTGACTCTACAGACTTCATTATATTTATACTGTGGAATGCCAAGCAGCCATTACACAGAAGTAGGTAGCTCTAAGTGCTGACATGGCCAGGCAGGATGTTGACCAAAGAGGGCCATCTGCAAAACTGCCCATATGTGGCAGATTTAGTCACTTGTAACATACAGTGCTTTCACATATTAACCTCCTTAACATCAGGATTATCACAAAATTGGTGGGATCTTACAGGAATAAATGGCAGTATTCTTGCTTTCTTAGCAGAACATAAAGTGATTTTGACAATGGTAGTCGTGGATTTGATGATATACCAGGAGTTTGACTGTTGTTCATAAAAGCAAACAATGTATATGTTTCTGGAACTATACAGATTTAAATTGCAGAGTGTTGTCTGGAGATGTACTCCAAAGTTATCAATGGAATGAGATGGGGAGAGGAGTCAGGAAACGGGCTAAATGCTCTTGGTGTATTTGTTTGATTTGAATGTTTGTAACAAACATGTCTCCCTATATTGCTGGTATTGCCCCATCCTTTGAGACAAGAGGCAGTTGGCTCTGTTAGACCCTGGGCCAAGTGGGAGACCAGCTGTGGGCACTGAATGTGGTGGTGGCAGTGTGAGATCTGGCTGGGGCATGGCTGTCTTGAGCCCTGGAGCTGCCCTCCCAGCAACCCAGCAGATGGCCCGAGGCCCCCCTGGGATGAACATTGCTCCTCACTGACACACAGCTGCCACGCCCAATATGCAAGCCATTAGAGGCCAAGCTTGGGAGCTTGGTGACCACAGCAGATGCCTGGATGTTGTGTGTCACTGTCCCTGGGCGATCCTCTGATTTTGGCAACAGTAGGCCCACAAGTGGGGCATGCATGTGCCAGGGAGCTGGCAGCCCTGGAACCAACCTTTCACCTGGTGGATGAGAGCTGTGGGTCAGCGCTCCAGCATCCTGCTCCTTCATACATGAGATGTGGGGAGACCCCTGGAGCATCTCTGCAGAGTGGAGTTCCCAGTGTGGTCTCAGGAATGCTCCTCTGAGTGGCTTGCTGAGACACACACACTCATTGGTGCCATTGGCAACCTGCCTGTCTCTCCTGAGGTCCCTCAGCACTCAGTGTCCTATCTGTGTGTTTCTGTTGATAGGAGCTGCTTTTGAGGCTGGTCTGGCAAGTGCACTTTTGCAGACCTCAGCTCCTTCTGAGGCACTGGTCTCAGGCAGTGCTATTTGGGTTCATTGGCCCCTGGTGAATGCCCAGTTGGTGACTTACTTTATGCCTCTTCCATACTTCCTTTTCCTTGGATCCCTCTGCCCCTCCCCACTGTGTCCAGCTGTGCCTGCACCTTCATATGTTCAGGTCTGCTTACCCCAGGGGAAGGGCCAAGACCACATCCACAGCAGAGTGGACGCTGCTTGTCTAGGATGGGACATTGGGACCCACAGACTCATAGGGAGAAACCAGTAACAAAAGGGCCCACAACAGCAAACCCCATCTTATAGCAGGCAATTTTTTTTTTTTTTTGCACAGGAATAAAAGTAAGAGATCTGAAGGAAAAGACACAGGCTGGTAGTCAAAGTAAAGGTTTATCCTCGCATCAGAATGGTTTAAATCTTGCAATTTGCATATACAAAGAATTCAGCAACATTCACTGGCATTATAATCAGAGCAAGATCAAATTATAAATGTAATCAAAGAAAATATGATAGTTGAAACTGTAATAACATACATATATTATAAAGATTGCACATAAATTAAACACAACTTGGTTAAACAAACAAACGAAAAAGTATCCGTAATCATACACTTAAAAGAATAACATGGGTATGTCTCCAAATGCTGAAACACAGGTGTCAGGCTCATTTTAAAAAGTGTTTAAAAACACGTAAAAATACCTTTTGAAACACCGGTATGCATTCTTCACTCGTATAGCACATGGAGAGAAACCATAAAGGCAGTCACACAGTGACCAGATCACACACAGATCAGAATGGTCGTCTTCTAATCACTATTTGGCATTTGAACCCAACTGCATGCAACAAAGGAAAATGTGAAAGGAACAACGGTGTCGGCACTGGGCTGTTCGGGGCTGTTTTGTTATGTACAATGGACTTTCTTTGACCGAAGGAAAGAAGAGATGAACTTTCCAGGTTGCACGGAGAAGATACTGAGTCCCCCAGGGGTTGATTCCCCCAGTGTGAGTTGCCCTAAGGCCCAGGAGATTGCGTGAACTGGGACCTTGGTAGAGGCCATGAGACTGTAATGACTTCCCCTCTAAAGGGGAATGCTGCCCCGGACGGACAGCGGAACGGAGAGTCCTTTGTCCCGGGGAAAGTGGCTTCTCCTTTGTTC